CACCCACACCCCACACACCACACACACAACACACACACACACACACAACACGCACACCACACACACACACACAACACACAATAACACACCACACACACAAACACACTACAATGCGCTATCTTCCAGCCGGTACAGAGGGCGATGCGCCGACGTCACAAGGAGTATTTAAGCACTGTCAAATTTTGCACCCAACTTAAGATTAAGGCTTATTAAGAAAATGAGTTTCTGGACGCTGATGTTAACTTTAAGCTATTAAGAAATTGAGTTTCTGGACGCTGATGTTATTTGAGGCTATTAATGAGTTTCTGGACGCTGATTGCTAAATTAAGGCCTAATTAAAAGTGAGTTTCTCTGGACGATGATGTTTAATAAGGCTATTAAGAAAATGTTTTAATTTGTTTTCTGGACCTGCTGATGTTAATTAAGGCTAATTAAAAAATTGAGTTTCTGGACGCTACGTTCGACTTTGCTAATTAAGGCTATTCAGAAATGAGTTTCTGGACGCTGATGTTAATTAAGGCTATTAAAGAAATGAGTTTCTGGACGCTGATGTTAATTAAGGCTATTAAAAATGAGAATCTGGACGCTTCGATGGTGCTGATGTTAATTAAGGCTATTAAAAAATGAGTTTCTGGACGCTGATGTTAATTAAGGCTATTAAAAAATGAGTTTCTGGACGCTGATGTTTAATTAGGATATTTAAAAAATGAGTTTCTGGACGCTGATGTTAAATTAAGGCTATTAAAAATGACGTTTCTGCGCTGATGTTAATTAAGGCTATTAAAAAATGAGTTTCTACGCTGATGTTAATAAGGCTATTAAAAATGAGTTCTGGACGCTTGTTTGGCTACTGCTGCTGATGTTAATTAAGGCTATTAAAAATGAGTTTCTGGACGCTGATGTTAATTAAGGCTATTAAAAAAGATTCTGGGGACGCTGATGTTAATTAGGCTATTAAAAAATGAGTTTCTGGACGCTGATGTTTAATTTAAGGCTATTAAAAATGAGTTTCTGGGACGCTGATGTTAACTAAGGCTGGACTTGATATTTATTAAAAAAGAGTTTCTGGACGCTGATGTTAATTAAGGCTATTAAAAAAATGAGTTTCTGGACGCTGATGTTAATTAAGGCTTATTAAAAATGAGTTTCTGGACGCTGATGTTAATTAAGGCTATTAAAAAAATGAGTTTCTGGACGCTGATGTTAATTAAGGCTATTAAGAAATGAGTTCTAGATCGCTGATGTTAATTAAGGCTATTAAAAATGAGTTTCTGGACGCTGATGTTAATTAAGGCTATTAAAAAAAAATGAATTTCTGGACGCTGATGTTAATTAAGGCTATTAAAAGTGAGCTTCTGGACGCTGATGTTAATTAAGGCTATTAAAAAATGAATTTCTGGACGCTGATGTTAATTAAGGCTATTAAAAAAATGAGTTTCTGGACGCTGATGTTAATTAATTAAAAAATGGGGCGCTGATGTTATTAAGGCTATTAAAAATGAGTTTCTGGACGCTGATGTTAATTAGGGCATACTAAAAAAATGAT